GAGGGGGAGGTGAGTGTTTCCCAAGCAGAGGTGGGGAAGGGGACAGGGGGGTTGACCCCACTGGCAGTTCTTGGAGCAGCCATGGGTCTGTGTGGTCCCTCTCCTGCCCTGCCCCGGGGTCTGTTCCATCTCCCAGGAGAGAACAAACTGCACCTCCAGCCACCAAGACACCCCTCAGACAGGGGATGCTGCAGGAAACAGGAGGAGTTGGTGAGAGGAAGAGGGGCCACGAGTGATACTCTTATTGCAAACACAAGTCATGAATCCTTGCTGAGCAGACTTCCCTCAAGTCAGCAGATGCTTTGTCTGAGCCAGGACTTGCTTTCAAAGCACTAAATGCAAGGTTCTGCCACTGATTGCAGGAGCAGCCACACAAGGGAAATGGAGGAGAAACAAGGACAGTTTCTGCTGGAAGCTGTGAAATAACTGCAAAGCCCCCTGAGCCAGGGCTCTTCCAGGGGCTCTGACAGGGGCTCAGAAACCTGTATTTTCTCTCTCCACTCTCATCCAACAGCGGAGGCAAGTTCTGTGAATTGTTCAGGCCTCCCAAAGATTTACTGACCCACCAGTACTGATGTGCCCAGCCTGACACTTCAGTGTGGTGTGGAGATAAACACCTGCCACCCCCAGGGCAGGTGCAGGTGACCTGTAAAACTTGGTTTCCTACACATTTTAGCTGATGTTATTCCTTGGCTGTGCCAAGGACAGGCACGAGTTCCAGCCCTCGGTAGGTCCCTTCCAGCCATGGTCAGGTCAAGGACATCCACACCAGGGTCAGCCTTGGGCACAGAAGCCGAGTGGACTCACGGCCAGAGCACCAGTGATTGTCAGTGCAGGACTCAGCTGGCACAGCAGAATTTGGCTCCCTGACTCCCCCAGGACTGAGCAGAGCCCCTGCCCTGCTGACCCCACGGGCCATTGCCAGTGCTCCAGGGGCTGGCTCTGGTCCTGATCTCCCACTGATCCCTCTGCTCTCTCCCAAGGTGTGTGGGGCGTTTCTCTCCTCCGACTGGAGTGAAAGGAAGAAGAGCGGGGCAACATCGGCCTTTTTTGGGACAGGGGAGTGCTTTGTGTTCACTGTAAGTCATGGTTTATTTCTGGCTTTGGCCCTTCATTGCTGTTTCCTTGACCCCTCAGGGCACAGTGAGCCCCGAGGTGCTTCCTCCCCACGGCCCCAGCACTGCCCTGAGCTCTGGCAGGAATTGCTGTGCTGGATCAGAGCAAAGGGAGACTCAGCTCCTGCCCTGGGTGAGCTGGGGCTGCCCTGAGCCCCCCAGGAACGTGTGATACCCCCGGGTGGGTCTGGGAGCCCCTCCTGGCATGGCAGCAGGGCAGGTTTCTGCCCAGTTTGCTCAGGGCAGCTCCTGGATGGGGCATTCCCAAATCAGCCCTGGCACCCCTGAAGAGGGAACAGGCTGAGCTGGACCAAAAGGTCCCAGGGACAAAGTGCAGCATCCATCTGATATCCCACTGGCATCCACCCAGCATCCACCTGGCAGTGTGGGCAGTGCAGGTTTGCCCATCTCTGGCAGCACCTGGCAAAAACAAAACCAACTTCTCAGCCACACCCTCCTCCAGGGCAGCCCTGGCACTACCAGGATGCCCTGTCCCTTCCTAATTCCAGATCTGGTCTTGGCTCACAGCACTGAATCTGAGCAACCTGACCTGGCTGGAGATGTCCCTGCTCATGGCAGGGACTAGCTGGCCTTTAAAGGTCCTTCAGCCCCAGCTATTCCATGATTGTATGATTTGTGCCCTGCCCACCCTGGCCGGGCAGCCCCATCTTCCCCCAGCAGTGACAAGTGTCCCACAGGCCAGGGCTCTGTCCCCACGTGTGTCCTGCTCTCCAGGTGCGCCCCGAGGCAGAGAGGTACGAGTGGGTGTTCATCAAGCAGCCGGAGCTGGCCAAGGCTGTGCCGCGCTCCCGCCAGCGCTCGCCTTCCCCCTGTCCCGACTCCCGGCCCGGCTCCTGCCCGGGCAGCCCCAGCTCCAGCCCCAGCTCCAGCCCCAGCCGCCTCGCCGTGCCCACGCCGCACAGGAAAGGCCGCCTGTCCCCGTTCCTGGCCGTCAGGCATTTCCTCCTGCCTTCCAAAACAGCCTCCATGTTCATGTCCGGCTCACGGGAAGGGATCGTTATCGGTAATTAATTAATTACCCATCGGGGCCCCGGGGGTGGGCTCCGACCTCCCGCCACTGCTCCGGCTGAAAAGGGCCCTTTTTAACTCCAGGTTAAAACCTGCCCGGGGCAAACACCTCCTGTCGGGGATGTCAGTCTAAAGGCAGGGCAGGTGAAGGGCAGGTGAAGGCAGCCCCTCTTCCTCACCTTAGGACAGTGCCGAGCTGCACGAGGGCCGGGTGCTCCTTCCGAGAGCCCCGAGGGGGAGCAGCACAGCCCAAACCAGGGGAGAGGTTTGTGCCCCTGGGGCTGGTGTGTCCTTTCCCAGCCCTTCCCTCCGCTCTGGGTGGGATGGAGGAGCCGTGGGAGGGGATCAGCCCGAGGAGGGGCCGGGCACGGCCACCGGAGCAGACACGGGGTCAGGCTCGGGCTGGGAGCGGGATCTTTGTGCCCCCCGTGCTGGGGTGTCAGAAACCCCTGCAGCACTGCCAGCCTGTGCCCCCTGGCAGCCCCGGGAGCAGGGTCAGGACAAGCCCGGGGACAGAGAGCCGAGGGGTGGGCGCAGCCCTGAGCCCTCCCGGGCCGGGCCGGAGCCGCCCGAGGCGGGAGCTCAGCCCTGAGCCGGCGCTCGCTCTTGCAGGTGGAGGGGGAGGCCAAGCCCTGTCCCTCGACGCCGACCTGCTCTGGGGGCACACGGAGCACTGCGAGACCTTCGACAACCCCCCGCTCTGCCAGGAGGACTTCAAGGTGCAGCTCCTGGAAGTGTGGGGCTTCCAGAGCGCGTAGGTCCCGTGGGGGACGGAGCCCCTCGTGTGCTGCCCACGGACACGGGGACCCCTCCCCGTGCCGGGCACCCCCGGCCGGCCTGGGGCCGTCTCTGCTGCAGCTCCACTCTCCATCCCCCCTCCACCATCAGCCACCGCGGTGCTGTGGAGAGAGGGCAAAGCAGGGCCAGGAACGGCACCGCGGGCGCTGCCTTTGGGGACACTCAGGGTCCCTTCTGCAGTTTAGACCCAGCCTGCTCCACCCAGGCTGGCCCCGTTTAGGGAGCTGGAGGGGAGGGCAGCCAGTCTGGTGTTTCTCACAACTCCCTGGCCTGTTTGCAGCTTGGGGCTCAGCAAACCAGTGGCACCACAGCATGGGCAGGTTTTGTAGGAATTTTGAGCCCAGGAAAAACCCAACACTGAGGTCCAAAGCTTCAGATTTCACAGGTATCCAGGGAAGAGGAGGAGGTGAGGCACAGCCCTGCATGCTCCCGTGTCTGACCTTTACCCACAGAGCCCAAATTAAAGAACTCTGCAGAATTGCTCTTTCCCTTCGGGTAAAAAGCTCTGCCAGGGTGTCCTCAGTATTTTTTCCTTTCCATGATCATGTACTGGACTTTCTGTCTGGCTGAAAGTTACCCATAGGAGTCCTTCTCTCTTCCCAAGAGGCTGTTTCATCTCTCCACCCAGAGATGGGAGACCTTAGAGCCCCTTCCAATGCCTAAAGGGGCTCCAAGAGACCTGGAGAGGGACTTTGGACAAGGGCCTGGAGGGACAGGACAAGGGAGAATGGCTTCAAACCGACAGAGGGCAGAGTTAGATGGAATATTAGAAAGAAATTGTTCCCTGTGAGGGTGGGGAGGCCCTGGCACAGGTTGCCCAGAGAAGCTGTGGCTGCTCCATCCCTGGAAGTGTCCAAGGCCAGGTTGGACAGGGCTTGGAGCAACCTGGGAGAGTGGAAGGTGTCCCTGCCCATGGCAGGGGGTGGAACGAGGTGAGCCTTAAGGTCCTTTCCAACCCAAACCATTCTGGGTTTCTGTGATTTCCTTGTAAAGGTCTGGCAGGCACATCTCATGCATTCTCAGACCAGAGGCTGGGGTTGTGCTGTGCAGGCTGTGGAGTCTCCAGTGCAGTGGCAGAGCCTGTGGGTCCCTTTGCAGCTGCACGTGCCACGTGCCCACACTGCCAGGTCAGAGCCATCTGTCACAGTGGGTGTCAGTGCTTGCA